CCCCCCAAACAAGATTAGGCCCGTACGCACATGGGTCTATCTTTTCTATTGGTCATGACTGAATTTGGCAAAGTAAAATTGTGTTATTTATAAATTTACTAAAATTTGTCGGAGTTTACAAAAATGTGTCTGAACCCAACCGATGCTTATGCCTACCGCCATTTCCATTAAGGTTGTCCCCCGAGCAAAGCGGAAAAGTCGAATACGAGCGCGAAAGGCTGCTGGGAATCGACACTAATTTAACATTTGCTAGCAATAATGTTGATGACATGGACTATAAGCTTAATCAAGATCTTGATAATGTCAATAAATGGCTCATAGCCAATAAGCTAACTCTCAATCAATCTAAAACAGAGTTCATGCATGCTAATTGGGTCAAGACAAAAATTAAGCACGTTACACTCGGCCCCTTCCTTAGCAATCAATGGACATCCTGTTCGCCAAGTTTCTCAAACGGAGTCCCTTGGGATGAAGCTTGATGAAAACCTGTCTTGGAATGCCCATATCAATGATTTAATAAAAAAGATTGCTTCTGGTATTGGTGCTTTGAAACGTGTACGTTCTTTTATTCCAGCTACAACATTGAAGCTTGTTTACAACGCTCTAGTTCAGCCTCATTTCAGCTACTGTTGTTCAGTTTGGGATAACTGTAATAAAACTTATGCTGAAAAGCTCCAAAAATTACAAAATCGTGCAGCCAGGGTTTTAACATTCTCTAGCTATGACACTATTGCCGATTCACTCTTTGAAAAGCTCAATTGGAAAACACTTTCCTTTCAGCGTAAAGTTCAAAAGGCTGTAATGGTCTATAAATCTCTTAATGGTTTAGTTCCCGACTATATGCACTCCATGTTTACTGATCGTGAAAGTGTAACTTCAATCCAATTGCGTGACACTGAGAATAAATTAGCTGTTCCTATGCCTCGCACAAACTATTTGAAAAACAGCTTTAGTTCTAGTGGCGCTGTGCTGTGGAACAGTCTTCCAATCGGGTTACGGCAAGCACAGTCCCTTGACAATTTTCGAGCGGGCTGTAGAAGTCTTTTATAAATTTTAATGGCTATTTTTAATACACGGCCCTCATGGAAAGCAGGTATACAGATAACTTTGTAACCACCGTAGTTTTTGTAATATAGTTAGTTAATGTAGCCCATATAATGTAAATCCTGATGAGTAATACCGTGCCTAAATAAAGTTTTAATAATAATAATAATAATAACACTCACAGTCTCACAGCTTGTTAATATATGACGGATTCTTACGGATTTCGAAAATAACACAACTTCAACAATATGGTTTTGTTTGATATAAATAAATGCTACCAAACCTTGTGTGTATAAGGTACAGAAGCCTCTGAAAATGTCATTTCCAACGATCTAGAGACTCCATATTTTCAAAAATTTTCCGCTCGGCGCCAACCATGGTGGCGCCTAGTGGCGCGTGGGTCGGTAAAACTTAGATGTTACACCCCCCCAGTTAAAAAGTTCATGCTACGCCCCTGCTGACAGTTCAAGAGTATATAAATATATAATTCTGTTTATATACCGTGCAACAACCACTTAACTCGTATTAAAGCCTTACAAAAACAACTAAAGTTCAGATGGTGCAATGTTCTTTTCATGTATGTTCATGTGCCGGATACAACATCAGTTTACATACATTTAGCTACTGTACGCTACAACTGATATTAGATCAATGTACACTACACAGCACTTAAAGTTTTGCGGGTTTTTTATCAGTATAAAGTTATATGGACGAATAGACACCTTAAGATTGACGTATTTTGTCTAACCGCTAGAAACCACGTGATCAGGAGCTTGCCGTCACGTTTGCCACTTTGCCGTAAATCGCTCACGTTTTAAACCTCAAGAGTGCATTTTACAGGTAAGTGATTTACTTCAGCATTTTATTCAACTGATATTACTTCATTGCACGTATATCACATATATATTAAGACAAATATACATCTTATCTTTGATTTGGATGGATAAACGTTGCTTTTAACAGGAAATTCTACTTCGTCATCAACTCGGTCGTTCCGGAGTTGTATGAGAGAGTGCAGCGCATGCGCAAAACCACTTGTGCAGTTTGCGCGGAAAAAACCAGCCTCGTGTTTTTTCATCCAGAGGATTTTTGGAAGATTTTTACTATTTCTAACCGTTGGTAGTGTATCCTCAAAATAAATATCTATTTCTGTTGCAGTTTTTCAGCTAAGTATCACAATTTTGTCTTGTATTTTGCAGGGTTTGATTATTTTTATGCTGTTTATTTAGGCAACATGGCGGCTCATTCTGATGACCCGAATGACCTTGAAAGTCGTCTTGATTATGACGAGTCTGACGACTTAGATATGCCTGAACAAACAAACAAAGACCCTGAGCATGATAGGGCAGATTTTCATGAGTTCTTGTCGTCTTTACAGAAGACTATGTCTACACAAACAGCGTTATTGTCCATTTTAGTGGCCGAACGCCAAGGCGAAAAACGAGCTAACACCAGTAGTGTCACGGCTTCGGCCAGCTCGAGCAAACGTCAGAAATATGACTCGAATGATATACAACCTCAAGTAGGCTTACAAGATATAGCTGCAGAGACAGCAACTACAAATGCTTCAGAGGAAGCAACTAACAATGCTTCAGCGGAAGCAACAAATTCGGTCTCAGAGTCAGACAATGAGCAATACACAAGTGAGCAAAATGACGACAGGTTAAGTGTACATGGGGATGAGCATGACCCTGATCTTGCCGGGTCAATGAGTGAGGATGAAGACAATACCAGTCTTCTGACAAAAATAGGTGAATCACTCTGTCCCACTGAGGATCATGGACCACAAGTTATTGAAAAACTTTCACAACTAGTGAATACTAAGTTTGTGATGGATCTTGACCTTGAAAAAAGGAAACAACTTTCTGAAAAGTACAAAACACCCAAAAATTGTGAGGCACGCCACGTGTTAACCCGGAGATATGGGGAAAATTAAACCCAACAACTAAGCAGCGAGACATAAAGATGTCAACCTTACAAGACCTCTTACTCAGTGTGTCAAATGCTGTAATTATCTAATTGAACACACTTTTAGACTGCCGAGAGAAACGATCAATTCCAGATTACAAATCTGTTATGTCTAACTTGATCGACTGCATTGCTCTTATTGGGCATGTTCATAAAGAACTTTCGTTCAAACGAAGAGACCAGATCCGACCAAGTCTGACAAATGAATTCAAACCAGCATGCTCTTGTAACAATAAAATGGAGAAATCACTTTTTGGTGATAACCTCTCTAAAGCCTAACAGGACTTAAGAGCAACAAGCAAAGTTGTGAATAACCTTACACATATGCCTACCAGTGGAAAGCCAAGATCATCAGCAAATTATAATTCAGCAAGCACATCACGCCCTCATTTTTTACCGCATCAGGGGAGGGGCCATTACCCTCCCTGGCCCAATCGAGCATACAATTATTAAAGAATGTTATTCAGGAGTGCCATCATGCTCCTATAGAATTTATTTCACCAATATTCACTGTTCCTAAGAAGGATGGTGGTATACGTCTTATTTTGAACTTAAAAAAGGAATTCATTGCTAATGTAGTACAAACAGTAAAAGTGTTTGACAATGTTGGGCTTGTACCCCGTCAAGACAAGTCAACATTCATACCAGTACAGGAGATTGTTTTGCTAGGTTTTGTCATTAACGCACTCTATATGACAATACGATTGACACCTGAGAAAACAAAACACATAAAAGAACTGGTCAAACAGACTATAGACTCAATACGTCATATAAAAATACGTTCGGTTGCTAAACTTATTGGCTGTCTTATTGCCAGCCTCCCTGCGATAATGTATGGGGCACTTTATTACAAGTATTTAGAAAAAGAAAAAAAATTGCTGCACTTAAATCATGTAAAGGAAATTTTTATGCCTTTATGTCTCTATCGCAATATGCTAAGTATGAACTTGACTGGTGGTTAAATCATATTGATACCAGTTTCAATCCCATAAGATGCCCACCTGTGGATGTTGTTTTATAGGGGGAAATATCAACAAGGGGTAGATGGACAGCTGTAGAGGCAAAATGCCATATTAATGTCCTGGATTTACACGCTGTTCTATTGGTGTTGAAATGTTTTAAGGTTTCTATTACTACCAAACACATACAAATCCTGGTTGATAACATCACTGCAGTAGCTGTCATTAACCATATGGGCAGTGTACACAGTGACAGCTGTCATTTAATGGTCAGAAAAACTTGGGATTTTTGTTTTTCGTAATGATATATGGCTCGCAGCTGCCCATCTACCAGAAGCCACTAATGTTGACGCTGACCATGCATCTCGAAATTTTATCAGTGTTGATACTGAGTGGATGCTCAATTCCACATGTCTCGTGGAAGCATTAGAGACTTCCATCAGCCCCCGATCAAATTCATCCACTTCACAGAAAGATGGAACTTCTTATTTGTCTCTTATCGGGGAGAAACTTAAAGCCCAAGGATTGTCCCAAAGCTCCATCAAAATTATATTGGCATCCTGGAGAGCAGGTACTCATAGTCAGTATCAATCTCAAATTATCAAATGGCAAGAATTTTGCGCGCAACATAAGTGTGATATGATATCGCCACCTGTTACATTTGCGGTGGATTTTTTGGCGCAGTTATCTGACTCTGGTATGTCTTATAGTTCTGTTAACACTGCACGAAGTGCCTTGTCTAGTATTGGGCATTTACCAGTTATTAAACGTTTCATGAAAGGGTTGTATGAGTTGAAACCATGTTTTCCCCCGATACCAGACAATTTGGGATGTAAGCGTTGTACTTAATCATCTTTGCAAGCAGCCACCTATACTGGAGATTAGTCTAAAAGATCTCACTCTACATTTGACCTTTCTACTATGTCTATTGAGTGGTCAACGTTCCCAGACTATAAACTGCCTGTCTCTTGAACATATGCAACTAACTGATGGAAAATGTGTGTTCATTGTTGCGAACAAGATCAAACAATCACGAGTGGGAAAACATATTAAACCACTTGAATTTCTTGGATACCCACAAGACCAAACTGTATGTGTTTTAATACATATTCGAGAATACATCAGACGAACAGCTGCCCTTCGGAAAAGTCAGCAGTTATTAATAAGCTATGTAAAACCTCATGGTCCGGTATCAAAAGACACAATCTCTCGTTGGTGTAAAACAGTGCTTGGTTCATCTGGCATTGACATATCAAAATTCAAGGGACATAGTACCAGAGCGGCTTCATCATCCCATCTTGCAGGATGTAATAATAATATCCAAGATATTTTGTCCTCTGCTGGTTGGTCGAATGAAAAGACGTTTCAACGTTTCTATAACAAGCCCACAGAATCAAGTTTTAATTTCGGAAAGGCTTTTTGGATTCAACATGTTAACTCTATTTAACGTTCATACAATCTTTAAAGTTCCTTGTTCATATTACATTGTGCATTTATTATGTGACAAATATAATAAAACTTTGTTGTGTTTTTTGCTGGTGCATTTAATATTGCACTTACAGTGGGTATCACTGTTTCTCATCGCTACCCACGCTACAATTACTCAATGACGTCTCTGAAATCTCGTACAACTCCGGAACGACCGAGTTGATGACGAAGTAGAATTTGAAATTAAACGAGACTTACCTGTAAGTTGAAGTTTGATTGGAATTCTGCGAGTCATCAACAGGGAGTGAAGGAGTTGTACTCCCGCCCATTTTGATTACAAATAATAAACCCACCCAAATTACAAAATTGTCATTGGGTAATTGTGCTCTTAAGACTGGTTTTGCGCATGCGCTGCACTCTCTCTAGTACAACTCCTTCACTCCCTGTTGATGACTCGCAGAATTCCAATCAAACTTCAACTTACAGGTAAGTCTCGTTTAATTTCAAATTTTTAGTTTTGATGAAACACACCAACCTTATGATTGCTCCCATCTTCATCCGAAGTGAAACCCTCAGTTTTAAACGTAACTCGAAAAAAACGGCGAGTGTAATTTTTGGAAAAAACGTCGCGTGTAATTATTGCATTGAAAAAACGTCGCGTGTAATATTGCATTGAAAAAATGTCGCGTGTAATTATTGCATCATCCCTGAAAAAAAAACGTCGCGTGTAATTCTGAAGAAAAAAACGGCGAGTGTAATTTTGAAGGAAAAAAAACGACGAGTGTAATGATAAAAAAAACGGCGAGTGTTTACAGTCATGGCCCTTCTCGGCCATCGTAGATTCATCATCAGTCAACAACCAAACTGAAAGTATTGAACCTTATAGAACGATAGTTTTTATTTGTTTACAACTATACATATTCAACGGGTATATATTAGAGTTTAACTGTTATTTGATAATTACTGCATCAACCGGCCCCTTGTTTATACTTTGGAGGTTCGTATATAATATCTATCAAGTATCTTTGGTTCAGAACATGACAGATAGGCCTATATGGAAATCCCACTGTTCGATTCAGTGAAGAAATATCTCCTAATTTCTATCGATAGTTTTAGTAAAATGTCAACATTATTGCGATTTATGGCCTTTGAAAGTCAAGCGAGATAGTATATTATCAAATTAATACGCATGTAATTGTCTGAACGAAAATATAGACTAGCCCATACCTTTCGCCGATCATAACTTCGGCCCCTTCGGACGTATCTTCTTTGTTAAATATTCTTGTTCGAATCTCTATCAGTAACACTATTTAGAGTGTTATTTTTCAGCTTGTATCTTTTAATTTGCTTCTTTATTATGTTATTCCATTTCTGGTCTGACTTGACGTGAACTAATTTCAAAACGCAGAGTTTCAAAACGTCAAAACATTTGGTTAATGATTAACATTTAACCGAATTTAGCCGTTGATTGACAACTACATAAAAATACTAACCAATCCGTTTTTCCCGTTCGCCAGCGGACGGGTAATTCAAAAACCCCTAGTTTTGCGGCAGACGGTATTTCCTTTGCTTCCCTAATTTTCGCTGCCCGTAGAAATACCGCCTGTCATGCAGGCTAAAAACATGGCGGATTTCGGCCTTTGCTGACGCCATTTCCATCACAACTGGTCCGTATTTCTCATGGTAATTACCACTGACCAGGCTCGGATCTGAGCCCGCTACAATTTCCACCCCCCCTGGTTTTCTTTAAAAAACTTTAGGTTTTTGCAATTTTGCTCGGGTTTTGTAGTATTTTCTCGATATTTGACTCGATTTTTAAATTGTTTTCGAGATATTTTTTCTAAATTCGGTTATTGGTTCAAAGATGTGCAAGTCGTACGTGTTATTCTTCCCGGGAAAGACAACAAAATTCAAACCTCGCTGTCCTCGCAAAATATGAGCAAAGCCAAAGAGGATATTTGAATCAGCGAGCTATAAACAGGTATTTGACCGTATTTCATTCAATTTTATTTATGCTTTATCTTATCTCACATAAAATTGGTGGGCTTTTTACTTAAGCTTGACGATGAAATGCACTTATTTTGTTAAGAAAACAGCCTTTTGCTGTTTTTTGGTGTAATTTGGCATCTGTATATTTCAAAATTTGGTTGCAGAAACTACAACTTTTTGTTATTTATATTAAGGTACTTTAGATAATGCTATTAACTCCAGACGTTCCTTCAAAGCAAACGGTATGTCACGTATGTGTTCAAATATATTCAGGTTTTGTGTAATAATGACATGTGCCAACTTTGCATACAAGGCTAATCAATGTCAATGACAAGACTTTTGGAGTACTCAAATATTTCCCAAAATACCTGTATATATAACTTATATATACCCCCCCCCCCCTTCAAGAAAATGCTTCTGTGTGATGAAAAGATATTACATTGGCCATTTACAACATGTTGGGAGCTGCAGTACACCCTGTTTATTTTATTTTTACTTGTCTAACGCCAGACGATTTTACTCATCAATGGGGAAGCTCTGCAGCTTAATGGGTTTAACAATTTGGAACACCAGGCATACTGGATGGCAATCTGGCAATTACTTCGTAACTACTGTATGTTGCTTCCCTTGCACTGGGAAGGTACCTTGTATCCTGGCCACTTTTGATTATTATACTATTAACCCATTAAGCTGCAGAGCTTCCCCATTGACAAGTAAAATCATCCGGCGTTAAACAAGTTAAAAAAATAAGTAGGGCGCACTGCAGCTCAATGTGTTAACTAGAGGCATTGTCAGATTTTTTGGTTAACCCATTAAGCTGCAGAGCTTCCCCAATTGACAAGTAAAATCGTCTGGTGTCAGACAAGTAAAAAAAGTAGGGCATGCTGGGGCGCATTGCGGCTCAATGGGTTAAGCCTGATAATTGCACCAATGGTTCTGGTGTCTCTGAGTCGCATTGTTTTGTTTTTCCCATCATCATTTTTGTGCTCAAAGTTACAACATATAATATATTTTTGTTTATTCCAGAATTATCTCACAATTGGGATATCATAATCTGGCATTTGTCCTGACTCACTCTGGTTTCCCAGTTAACCCATAGAGTGGCTCTCCCATTGACAAGTAAAAGTAGGGCAGGCAAAATACAGTACAAGCAAGATGTATGGAAATTGAAGACACAAAAGCTGGATTAATTTTGAACTATTTTAATTGGACTTTTCAATACAGTAAAATTATTAACAGTGAATAATTTTAAATTAGCACTAAAATTATTGTAATTAAGTACACATGATGTAGTGGAGTATGTGTTAACTTAATTCAGGGGTGGATTAATAGGGAGGGTTGACACCCCTGTTGGCCTTGGTTAACAGGGTTGCAATAAAATCAAATGCAGAAACATGGCATAATTTCCAAGGTTTTCCCTTTTTTGAAGTCAAACTGAAGCTCATAATTCAATGTCCATATCACAGGAAATAGCATTTCTACGGATCTAATTTTCAAAATTTTCTGGGGGAATATCCCTCAACCCCCTAGGGAGCTCGCGCCTTTAGTGTTTGAGTTGTTTCACTCCCACCACCCCCTAAAAAATTATAAAGAAACACTTGGCTGATCACCCAGCACCCCCTAGAAAAACCTTGCTGGATCCACCCCTGAAGGCTTTCAAGTAATACTGTAATAGCAGGCAGTGCAGTACTTATCATGTCATGCAAATAATTATATTTAATTGCACAGATCCCATATGTATAAACAAACACGAGCATGCAATGCATTGTAGTTGACAATGATTCTTTAATTAACTTGATAATAAAGGTTTATACTTTTATAAGTTAATTATCATCACCATCATAGACAGATTTTCAAATTTTGCTTGGGGAGTGTGGCTGTGTAGAAAAGTGAGCAAGGAGCACGTAGTGTGCTGAGTAAGATGCAGCAGAGTCTGATTGTAGAGTCACTAGTGAGGACACAGTTGGGGTAAGGTTGAGGGCAATGACCCCAGGACATTTTGAGAATATTGGCCTTGTCTTCTAGCCTTAATTTATTTAGTTCAAAATTCTTGTTCAATTATACTGCTGTCATAATTTTAATCAAACCAGCATTTAAATTTCTGTGGTGGAAATGCTTTCTGAGGTGGTGAAGATACTATTGGGGGTGCACCCCCCCCCCTCCCCAGAAAATCCATCAATGATTGCCATCTGCATTTTAATGCCGTACATCCCATGTTTTGTGATATCTATAGCCAATAATTCCTGCAAGATAAAAGACAACAATCATATTGCACCAATATTATTACACATTCTTCCACCTGAAAAACCAAAATTACAAAAAATTGTGGATGCATGCTTCTTTTCATCCACAAAACTGCATATCATAGTTTCTTTGTAACCATGCAATTTCATGAAAGTCAAGACAATCACAGAGAAATTAAGATAACAATTTTTTCAAGAGAGAGGAAGGATACACAGTTTAAGGTTTACTAATTAATAAAAATATTCTTGTTGTAGTTCTTTGTGTATTCCGCTCTGTTGTGGAAATACATGTACATGTATAGTTTGAACATTGAGTCATATATTCCAGAAAAATCCACACTCCAACTATATGTGGAGGAAATTTATGCTGTCTGGAGGGGACGATTAGAATCTATACTCCTGAGAAAAGCAAAATACACTATAAATAGGACAGGGGCTTGCAACTTCACATTTCTTGTGTAGGGATGATGTGGATGTTTTCAGATAATTTTCAAAATCTCCTGGGTGAGTGTGCCCCCAGAACCGCTAATAGGTTCTAAATGATTGTTCCCCCACTTCTGTTTTACTGGCTATGCCACTGCTCATAATATTAAATTTAACAGTTTCTGGAGTCTCTTAATAATACTTGTCACTTGATTATATGACAAAATCTGATCAGTCAATTTATTGTATATGTGGGCCATTAACACTAACAGTCGTTAACAGTACACTACTATATGTTGATGTCATAACAAGTGAATCCAGTGTAGTGGCCCTGGCCATTTTGACCCCCTCTCTGGCCTTGCATGTGCTAATCCTGATCTATATTTTAAGTCTATTTAAATGATTTTCACACCATAATCTGTGTAAGACACATTGCCAGGGATAAAACAAAACAGTAAAACAAAACGCCACTCTAATTCCTTCCAAGTTGTAAAAAAAAACCCCAGCAAAATACGAGCTCGAGAAAATGTTATGTTTTTAACTAAAAACACTGCCAAAACCTTGAAAACCAGGGGGGTGAAAACATCGTCTGAAGCTCAGGATCGCGGTTGGTCAGTGGCAATTCTGTGAGAATTACGGACCAGTTGTCATGGAAATGGCGTGAGCAAACGTCAAAATCCGCCATTTTTTTGGCTTCACTTTGATCATAGACAATCCAGAAGACAGGGACTGGAACACTGAGCTATAAATATATGGAGAGCGCAACTATAGATACAGAAATTGAAGCCGGAAGTCGCGCGCGGCCGCCATCTTACTGTGACCACTTTGAGGAGTGAGCTATTGTGATTAATATGGTATTTTCAACTGTTTTGTTCTGTTATCTCGCAATAGAGGAACAAATCAAGTCAAATATGGTATTTTAAGCAAAAGCACATGTTCAAGAATGTTGGGGACCTCTTTTACATTCAAATGAACTCAATCGTAAAGAAACGTGTCTATATTTTTGACGACGTTTCTGAGTGCGACTGAGATGAATCATGAATACAGTCGTGACAACACCTTTCAAATGGGAATTTCTGATAGAGATCGGTGAATTATACCATAAATTAACACATGAGAAATTGGTCATGAACTTTATTGTTTTGGAAATGGTGAATTTTATATGGACAAGACTCATATTTGTTTCTATCAACCTAATCAACGCAAACAAATTATGTCGCTTGTGGGATTTGTTAAAGGAACAAATGATTCAGGATGGTAGAAAGAATAGCAGGTGC